CATTATTATGAAAATGCCTAACATACAGAATAAGGATAGAATTTCAAAGGCTACAGGAGAAAAACAACAGGTCAAAAATGAAAAAAAATGGAGTATTTAACAAAATACAACACCTCTTCATGTTCAAAACACTAGATAAACTAGGGATAATAGGAACATACCTCAACATTGTAAAAGCCACATATGCTAAACACAGGCCAACATCATTCTAAATGGAGGAAAATTGAAAGCATTCCCTCTGAGAACTACATACTGTATTGAGAAACAGCATTAGTGGTTAAGAGCATTAAAGTTAGACCAAGCTGGATTTGAATCCTAGTTCTCTTACTGACTGTGTTAACTTGATAAAGTAACCAATCTCCCTAAGGCCCAATTTTCTCTATCTATAATGTGAAGGGTACATAGTCACAGGTCAAATGGAATTAGATTGTATAAAATTATTAGTAGAGTGCCTAGCACATTGTAAACATTTACTAATAGTTATCATGATGATAATAATTGATGATAAAGCATTTTAAATCTTTGCTTGGATACTTCCAAACTGGAATATGAAATCAAGAATTTTGTCTTATTCATTTCTTCAAACCCAACAACTTGCACAGGTCTTGGCATCAAAATATTATATACATGGATATTTGGATGACTGAATAGCAGCACAGAAATGGCATTTTTCTCCACTGCAACTCTGTGGCTCAGATAGGTACAGAAATGGAGGATAATATTGCCAGGTTAAGTAAGCATGAGTTGCTAGGTAGCAAGTAGGCTTGAGAGTACACTGAAACATGACTTAAAATCACAAGGTAAAAGTGTAACTCTGAGGATATAGCTGGCCAAACTAATACAGGACATCTGCAGCATTTCCAATAGGCTGGAACTTTGTGAAATACATGAATCTGAAGAGGGAACACAAACCAATAATCCATGACTCCTCCAGCAATGGCCAGGCCAAAAGACAAGAAGCCAGTGGGAAAGAATGTTTAAAAGAAGATACAATAAGAGCAAAACAGAACAGGGTATTTATTGTGAAAAGGACTTTGGAGGAAGACCATGGCATTTTGTACAACTCTTTTATATATTTTCCAATCTCCTTCAGAAGTTTGAATTCCTAATATAAGTGGCAATAGTACCGACTTTTGGGCAATACTCCTCAAGCCAGGCCAGGGGCCAAGAAAAGGGAGAGAATTTCATTTGTGTTGTATACCCAGTGTGTTTTAATTTGGACTCTTATTCTTCAGGTTATGAAATACTTATATAATGCCCATGATGAGCTGGGGTTGTAGCTCAGTTGTAGAGCACTTGTCCAGCATGTGTGAGATACTTGGTTCAATCCTCAGTACCACATAAAAAATAAATTAATAAAATAAAGGTATTGTGTCCATCTACAACTAAAAATATTTTTTAAAAAGGCTCATGATTTCAGTTTTTTTTATTTGATTGGCATTGAATATTCATGTCCATTTTGGTACCTAGTGGTTAAATACAAACAAAAGAAGCAATCCATGTGATAGGAGCCTTTGAAATGTTATGTACAACCCAGTAACAAACCCTACTGGGTAGTGGAGCCTATGGAATTTGTGGCATATGGAACAAAGGGAAGAAAGGGAGTTCATCTACTCTGGCTTTAGCCATATGTCATGAATACATTTTCTTTTAAATGAATTTATAAAATATTAATGTAATCATAACAAACAGCAGAGTGGTGAGTACATCAAGGAAGAGTTATATTTATCCTATATATTTGGGTTTTTTTGTTTGTCTCCATTTATTAGTAGATAGTACATGGAGACAGGCATTTCCTTCTCAGTCGAAGTGGCAGAACTTGTTTAATGAAGTGATGTTTCTGTAATCTGTGGTAAGGTAGAGTTGTGAGTGACAGAACTATATGAATAACAATGAGGAGGCAGGCAGAACAATAAAAGGAAGACAAACATTTCAGTAGGAAGAGGAAAATAGATGGGATTGTTTAGTTGGCACGCAATCTAATATTATCTTTTTCCCAACGAAAATTAACAGTTTGTAAATGGGTAAGATAATGTTAACAATTTCTCCAAAATCTTCTGCACAAGGAATCAGATTTTCCAAAGATGTGAATGGCATTCTGAACCAATGCATTCTATAGCACAGCAGGGTCTTATGTTCTCCAAAAACCTACATATCTTCCCCAACCCTAATATAGAGCCTGACATATAGGAGGCTGTGTTAGTCAGCTTTAGTTCCCGTGATCAATTTAGTCCCTGTGACAAACAATTTAAGGGAGGAAAAGTTTATTTGAGCTCACGGTTTCAAAGGTTTCAATTCATGGTTGACTGGCTCTATTGCTTTGGGCCTGTGGTGAGACAGAATAGCCTGGTGGAAGGGTGTGGTGCAGGAGAGCTGTTCAGTTCATGGCAGCTGGGAAGCAGGCTGGAGGGAGAAAGGAGCCAGGGATAAGATATAGTTCCCAAGGACATGCCCCAAGGGACCTTCTTCCTCCAACCATGCCCTACCTGCATATAGTTACCATCAACTCTCCATGATGCCATCACATTTTAATCCCTCAGTGGAATAATCCACTGATGAGGTCAGAGCCCTGAGGATACAATCACTTCCCAAAAGCTCTACCTCTGAACATTGCTACTTTGGGGATCAAGTTTTCAATGCATGAGCCTTTGGGGGATACTTCATATCCAAACCATAACAGAGGCCTATCACAGATGTTTGTGGAATGTGAGAATGAGTGTCTGAATCAGTGAATTTCTAACATTTTGTACATTGTGAATGGAAGGAATGAAACTCACCAATCAGGACTATCATGCTGAGGGTCTTTATCTGTACTCTCTTTTCACCTTTTGGGCTAAATGTGATTGTTTATCCCCAGTTTTACCAAAAAGAAATGGAAGAACATAAATATTAAGAAATTTTCCTCAAGGTCACATAACTACTCTGTGGAGGGAGTAGAATTATGAGAGCTAAAGGAGGAAGAGGAAGTGTGTGTGTGTGTGTGTGTGTGTGTGTTATGTATACACATGAAAGCATGTTAGGTGAGATGACATATGAGGGCTAAAAGTAAATGTTTTCATGAAAATAAAAATTTCTTTTGGGAGATAAATTTTTCTTCCTAAACTTTTCTAAGGTCTTGATCTCTCAGGATGGCAGACATGTGAGGATGAGAGATGTTTTAGCTTGATTGGACTGACTGCAGTCAGGAATGCCCATATGCCACCCACTTGCCTATCCTCCCAGACACAGGACCCCTTCTACTAGGACTGTTAGACCTGAAGTGCTGCTTCTGTGGGAACTAGTTCTTCCTGCTCTTTAGGTTCACCTCTTCCAGTATCTTAAGGATCCCCCAAGGTCTCCAGAGTCACCTTGAGGACATCCTTACAGGTATTGCCCCTGTGACTTGTGCTGTGAGCATGGTAAAATCATTAGGAGCAGAGCCTGCTACTATTACTGCAACTAACCCTGTATTACCAGAGCTGCTTATGCAATACTTTATTTGTTTGCCATAGACTATGCAAGGTTATATAGTGAGGACAAGTGTGGGAGGTGGGAAAACAAAGAAGTAGAATGCACTCCCTTCTCTCAAAGAAAATGACATTTTTGTATAGAAACAAAGTTAAACAATGAAATCAGTACTGCCTTTAGATGTAGGCAAGTGAGGCCCCACACTAGGCCCATACCTCAAGGGACCCCATGCTTTGGAAGACTTACCTTGATTATCTCAACATATAACAAGCACACCCTGCAGTGCTGGCCACTGGCCAGGCAGCAATGCCAATAAGGCAGGTGCCCAAGTCCAGAACATGTCCTGCCTTTGTTCTGGCCATAAGAAGCACCTTTCTTGAAATTTTCTAAATTCCCCTTCAGTGTCTGGTACTGACCAGGGATAGCAATGTCATCTGAGTGAGGAGCTCCAATCTCCATCTAGACCCCTATGGATCCCTCTACCCATGGCTCCCCTTTAGGGCACTTTCCACTCCTCTTCTGCACAGATGGAGTCAACTAGATGCTAAGAAGCGTCAGGACTCATGATCAGAGAATCCACCCAGAGTCTTGGTTCCAGGAGAATATCTGGCAAGTAAATCACTCCAGCTGTATGAAATGGCATTTCTTTCATGGTATCACATGAAACTGTGCCAACAGAATATTGTCAATGCTGATGTGAGGTGAATCAAATTATATACATTGATGAGCCCCACAGAAAAATATTTTTCTCTGCTCACCCTCACACTTGCTAGAGACATCCCTGAATGAAATAAAAGACAATGTAAAGTAAAATAAGACACTGGAAATAGTTGTAGAACAGATTTTAGACCTGGGGTTAAGAATGAACTACAATTATCTGAAAAGGCCTCTTCAAGGAGACTTAAGCCAGCAGTTGAAGCATGGGAGGCAGGGCTTCTGGTAGACTCAACTGATTCTAGGCAGGAAAAACAACATGGACAAAGGCATAGAGGATAGTTCTTATTCAGCCTTTTGTGCTATGCACTGTGCTAAGCACATTGCATTTATCATTTTATTTACTCCTCACAACTCCCTGTAAGGTAGAAGGTATGAACCCTGTTTTGCAGCTAGGAAAATGGTAGAACAAGAACCCAAGTCTGTCTGATCCCCCAAACTGTGCTCTTAACACAATACTGTACTGTAAAAAGAACGTATATACAATAGACAGCAAGAAACCTTTCCATAATGGAGCCAAGGCTGTGTGTTGGAAACTAGTAGAAGCAAGATCAGGAAACAAGATGCAGTCACATTATAAAAGATGTTGGGTATCAAAATTAGATGTAGAGAATTCAAGAAGCCCTGATTAAAGAAGACAACAGCCCTATCCTGAAAGGAAAATGCACAAATTTAATATAATATTTGAGAATTGAGAATACTAAGCATATGTTTTTTTAAAAAATATTTTGCCTCTGTCATAGAAAGACTTTTGATTTGAAGCTTATGAGGTAACCATGTTCCTCTAGTTGACCTTGCCTCGTGTTACTTATTGTTTTTTCTTTCCTCTCCTATTTTAGATTTTGATCCTGCTCTTGGAATGATGACTGGAATTCCTCCAATAACTCCAATGATGCCTGGTTTGGGAATAGTACCTCCACCAATTCCTCCAGATATGCCAGTAGTAAAAGAAATCATACACTGCAAAAGCTGCACGCTCTTCCCTCCCAACCCAAGTACTATTGTTTTTTCCTACTTAAATCAGTGTATATAAGAAAGCTTTCTTCTTTTTCAAAAGATTACCCAAGGGCTTCATAGATGTATATATAGAAGATTCACCTAGAAAACAGAAAGCAGGAAAATTTTCTCTGACTATTCAAGGCTGAATTTTATTTGGTATATTTTTGTGTGCTGGTTGCAGTACAAGTGATATAACATTTTTCTAATGCCATTTGGTAAGAAATTCAAGTGTATTCATAGAGAATGAAACACATGACACAAATTGATCTACACTATCACTTGTAGTCTCTGTGTTTCATAACTAACCTGTGTGCCAGTGGTGGCAGAAATTGAGAGTGGTCTGAGCCTACCTAAAGCACATGAGAATATGTACTTGGCACTAAGAATCTTCCATTGCTACTAGCTAGTCACACATCACTCCAACTACTACTATTCATCATCTGGGCTACAATGCACAGTGAGGTGCAATTCAACTTATTTGATTTTTTCCACTTTTTTATTGGTGCTTTATAGTTGTACATAATGATGGGATTTGTTGTTACATATTCATACATGCATAGAATATAGCAATACAATTGGTCCAATATCACTCCCTAGTTCAACTTATTGGAAGGGCTAAGACCAATGTTTGGACTAAGATTACTTGTTGCCATCTGGGGCAATATAGTTCATGTAGAAGTGATCTAGAAATCTATCTTGTCCTCAAAGAATAGGCTTCTCCTTAGACTCACCTTAACATATCTCTAATGGTAGGGTGGCCATATTTCAGTTAAAATGTACCAGCAATATTAATTGACTTGGAATTATTTTTCCAGATACACTGAGGTTTTATATACTTTAAATGATTAGAAGCTTCTTCTGCACATGACTGAAGCCTCTTAATGCTTTGTCCATAGTTGTAGTGATGCTGCTATAATGCAAACACTAGCACTGTTTGTCAAGGGACTCGCTCAGGGGTTTAAACCACAGATCAAATTAAATTGCCTTATAAAAATAAATACAAACCTTTTATGTGGGACCTCAGACAAATACTTCATCTCCTACCTTAAATAGGAATCAGTTAATCATAAATCAAGCCCTGATAAGGACCCAGATTCTACTTAGAATGATTTGCTTATAACTGAGAAGGTTTTAAAATCAGTCAGGGTTGGTTGCATGGATCTTCCTGGCTACTTTTGTGAGTGAACAAATGATCTTAATGCTTTCTGATTTTGGAAATTGATTGTCAACATGCACATCCTTCCAGACCAATAAGAAATATAGGAGACCTGCATCTCAGAGGACTGTATTAGGAGAAGAGTTAGTGTGTCACAAGGAAAGTTAAGGAATGGAGAATGAGATGTCCCTTGTAGGCCTTACTTGCCAGTTCAATTAGATTTTTGCTTAGTACCTAGGTGAATAAGCACTACTTTTTAAAATCTTAGTTCCACTGTCTTCTTCTATATATGTGCAATGATTTTTCTTCTCTTTCTTCCAATGTATTGTGTTTGGCATAGAGGAAGCTTCGCATCCTTAATAGTACCATTTTCATGTTAAAAGCCAAGAATTTAGGAATTTCCAGTTTTAAAACCTCATGCTCATGAAAAGGTAGAATTCTGCTGATTTAATCGTTAATGTATCACATAATTGTCTTGCACTCAGCTTTCATTACCTCAGTCAAGTCTAAGCTAACAGGAGGGCTCACAACCTATGATGCCCTGGTTGGGTGCAATAGATGACTTTAAGGATGTTCTCATTCTAAAATGCCAAAGAATAATACACATGCCTTGTTTTTATATTACACAGATCAATCATTAAGCAGTCTTTCAATGAATGTCAAAATATATAGCTTAAAGAGGCTACAACTTCATAGTCTTTAGTAAAAGAAATAGGCAGAAATCTCTCAAATACACTTTTTATCTTTCTCTATCCCCAGCCATGCCTTCTCAGTTCTGAGTTGGAAGCACCGAAGAGTGAGAGGGAAATATCCTCACAACTCAATTCTTTAGTTCTTCATCCTTTATACTAAGGATGCTGACAGGGCAATTAGTGCCAGTAAAAGAGTGGCTTCTGGGAAGGAACCTGGCTTTGGAACTAAATTCAAAAATAACATTCCTGACAAAGCTTAAAGTAGACTGGTATTCTATTTGCTTTTTAGAGTTTGGATTTTTTTTAAAGGGGGCTCTGTTTAATTGTGTAGGGGAAAACTGAGGCCCTTCCTTAGTTCTTTGTTTGAATGCATGGTAAAAGTGCCATTTTGTTAACAGTGCCAAAACTGATCTTTGTGAAGGTGAGACAAAAACAGGGAATTGGTATGACTGAACTACTTATTCCTGCCTGTCTCTGGTATAGTATCTTGCACTCAATGGCTTCCGACTCTGAAGTTCCTCCTACCAATAAGATCCTATGATTTAGAGACTTTGTCAGTCTCTTTATTTACCATCCAGTCTGCTTCTAAGTCTTGTTGCCTTATTAAAAAGTATCATTGTCATCAATTCCTTCCCCTTGTCCCACGTGACACTTCATCCAAATACTAGTCACATACAGAACCTTAAAGTTGTCTTGGGGCTCATTGTCCACAGATTCATAGTCCCCTTTCCTGACCTTTAAAACCTTTTACTGATCTGGGTGAAGTGGTGCACACCTGTAATCCCAGCAGCTCAGGGGACTGAGACAGGAGAATCACGAGTTCAAAGCCAGCCTCAGCAAAAGTGAGGCACTAAGCAACTCAGTGAGACCCTGTCTCTAAATAAATACAAAATAGGGCTAGGGATGTGGCTCAATGGTTAGATGCCCCTGAGTTCAATCCCTGGTACCCCACCCCCAAAAGAAAAAAACAACTTTTCACTCTTCTGCTTCATGTGACTGTCTTCAGTCCATCATTCTACTTGCCACATACCAACCCTTTAGTCAGGTTCAAATGCTTCTGACCTCATACTCCTTACACTCCCATCCAGCCCAACTCCAAGTATATGCTCTCCTGGAACACTTCTGCATGGATGGTACTGAAAGTAAATCTGTGGTGAATTACTTTAGTGCATTGTCATTCAAATGATGCTAAATCCAATAGGCACATCTTAGTCCTTAAATTGTTTTATGTGTCTGTATTTGTGAATGATAGCAGAAGGGATGGGTGGATAGATAATGGATGGTGACAGAAAGAGTAGAAAGCAAGCCAAGAAAGTAGGGGGGTGATTACTACTACATGTGATGACTTCTAAATCTATATTTTCAGTCTACATTTCTCTTCAGAGCTTTAGACTCTACCTATTAGACTTTTTTAGGTGAATCTACATCAAATGTACCAAAATGGTATGTCAGTATAGTACAAGATTATAAATCAAGAGAATTATGTTCTACTCCTAATTAGCTATGGTATCTTGACCAGTCATGTAATCTCTTGTGTCTCATTTTCCTCATTGATAAAACAAGGATATTGGGTTAGATTAGCTTAGATACCTCTAAGGCTTTACCTAGTTCTAAAATTATGATTATGCACATTAAAAATGGAGCACTATTATAACTATGTACCTGGGCAAACCCCTTCAATGTGTATTAGGAAAAGCAGGAGCAATTTGGTTGGCTTTGTACCTTCACTGGAACAGGCAGGATAGCGAGTGCTAAAACTTTAAAGTAACACAGGTGTGGTTCTCCACCAATGCATAACCATAAAATTTTTGGTAAGTAGCTTGACCTCTCTGATCCAAACTAGGTAAAATGAGACCTGGTCTAAAAATTCAGTGGGTCATATTCAACAGGAGCAGAACAGCCTAGTCTTGAAAAGATAAATGGTGAGTAAGTATCCCATTGTTCTGATTCCCAGGATTTGGAGGTATGGTAAAAACAAATTCTCTGGAACACACTTTATTTTTCATAGGGTGGGTATCAGAGATAGTTCCCAATTAGCAGTTCTTTGCAGTATGACAGGATGACAGCACCATCTCTATAGAAAACTCAATTTTGCCAAGATTTTTCACTTCAGCTGCTAGACATTTTTATGGAGAAGTTACAGTTTGAGTCTACTAGAAATAACAGTGGATGGGGAATAAATGATGGAATATCATCTGTTATCTTAGCCCAGGCACATTGGAAAACACTCAAGAGCCAGAAAAATAATTTTGTTTCATTTTTCATTTTAACATATCAAAATAGGCAGATCCCATTTGGGCTCTCAGGGCTGAGTTTTATAAAGAGAATTAGAGAAAAATGGGTAAATTGAGCATTAATAACAATTTACAATCCTTCAGATTATTTTCAATCAGTTTAGATTACATTAAAATGCATCTGACCCCTGTTGATTATCTTGGGGGCCTTCAATATTGGGCTGTCTAATAAAATCAACTCAGATACTTTGCATCATATAAATTCTAGCAAACCAGCTGAGTGATCTGTGATGCTCCATTGAAAAGCAAGATGCAAATAGTTTATAGATCCTCTATACTGTGCCTCGCTCACTTCTCAGAGATCAGCAGTGACTCTGATCCTAATGCTGATTGCCCCAACACAGCTGCACAGAGAGGTTGCTTGGATATAATTAGAATTGCTAGAAGCTTCTGTTTTTTCATTATCAGAGATTAGTTTTTTATACTCTTCAGTTATCTTGAATCTTTTTACATGGACGTTTTCTTGGTCTCCATCCTGAGTGGTGATTGAGGTGCTACAAAGCTTAGCACCTAACTTGATGAATGAGTGGAGTCTGAATTTGCTTTCCAATGGGGTTATCATCCAAGGTAGATCACGGTATTTCAGTGGGATTAGAAAAATCAAGCCCAGACAACAAAGTGCTTTGAGCTGTTAATTAAGGAACAAGTACTATCCATTAAGGAAGATAGTACAGCCATTGCCATGTTTGGTGGCATACACTCAGCAAATGCTATCAAAGAGACTTTCTACATTTAGCCAAGGAAAATAAATAAATCCCTGGCATTCTTGACATTACTCATAGTGGATTTTATGACCCTTTACTTAGCAGTTACCACCGAAGAATCATAGTATCTAAATAGGGTGATAACTTCATCACAGAAGTTTTAAACCCACAAATGTAGTCAGGGGAAGGAGCCTTTGCATTTTCAGTGTTGCACACAACTACAGCACTAACCACACTTTGTTAGAGTCTCTCAATGGATTGAAAGGTAGATTGGAGTAAACTCAAACAAAATAAAAAGATGATTTTTGCTTTACCAAAGGATTCTTTGCCATCCAGTCCTTTAAAAGTAAACATCAAAAGGCTTTTTATTCTAAAACAGGACTTTATTCTGAAGCCTTTGGATTGAAAACACATCTCTAACTACACAGATGCTCTTGAAATTTCTTTACCTATGTATACAGTGGCTGTATTTTATTACATGGTCAAAACCATGTGTGTCTTCACAGCTATAGATTCCTCTTTCCATTAATTCCATATGAATGATTCCTGTTCAAACCAAACCTTGTGTAAATGTCTAAGTAAAGCAAGGGGGCTGGGAGAGTAGAAGTCCAGGTCTTAGCTACCACTATATTTCAGACATGTGTAGGGTCTTAGCCCCAGATTGAGAATTAGGAAACCTGGGTTCTATGATTCTAAATAGTAACATTTTAATGACTACTATTTATTTGGAATCTTTCAAATACTAGGCATCATACTACATGCAATATAAATAGGGTAATCTCAATTATCCTTCAATAACTCTTGGGAATAGTATCCCTATTTTAAAGATAAAAAAGACTTTTTTCAGAGTCTATGTAATTTTCTGAAGATATAGATGATGAGTTTACCTGCTCTAAGTTCATGTTCTTTCCCTTTCTATCTAATGTAGTGCCCTTAAATGAACCATAACTTGCTTCAGCCAAGGTTTTTCACTATAATATTAGAAATTTAGACTAAGTCAGAGTTTTCAACCCTAGTTACATAAAAGAACTGCCTGCAATGCTTAAAAACCAACAACAAAAAAAAAAACCTAATGCATAGTATGTACCGTGGAGTAATTAATTCAAACTCATTGGGGTGGGGCACAGGCATTGTTTAACTCCCAAGTAGATTCTATTGTGCTGCTAGAGCTAATGATAACCAGAACCATGGTGGCTAGAATTCTTTCCAACCCTTTTAACATTCAAAAGCATAACTCTCAAGCAATTCTGGTCCTCATTGTCCCCCTTTTGGCTAAAAACACAACCTCACATAGTGACCATACTAAGTCATTTCAGATTCTTTCTCACTAGATTGTTTTCTCATTCCCTCTAAACTTTTGCAGATAGAAAACAGACAACAACAACAAAATGAGCTCTTGAAATTATATATGTTTAAAACTTAACAGTTTATAAGTTCCCTGAATTTCATTATCACCTTTATAGAAAGAAAGAGGACATCAGTAGAAACTAAGATTTCTTAATCACACTGGTAAAACAGAGAGCCATAACAAAGTGAGGAAGCTAGAGATGCTGATACCCAAGAAAGCTCCCAAATCAACTGCTTACCTACTTGGATAAGAGTCAGGTGGGGTCCTTGACCTAATCTATAAGCCAGCTTCATTTATTTTTGCATGTAAACTCTAATCACTGGTTGTTGAGCTCTCCAAATCTTGAGCTGGCAGAATTGTTGTTAGGGAATAATGGAAAGAATGGATTACACAAAATAAATCCTTGAAGATACAAAACCAACATTAGAAAACCCATGACCATCATGCTTTGTTTTGTTGGGCTATGAGTATGGGATTTTGCTTAGAAAATGCTTTGATACATATAAATACTAACAAGGAGCTGGCAGAAACACAGGCTTTATGTATGAGTGAGAAGAAAGCATGTTTTTTTAAAGCAGAGGGAAAATCATCTCATTAAGTAGGTTTTTAATGACTCTCCATGGCCAAATTTATCTCACTTTAGTTAATGATTTCCCAGATGAGCTTATTCTCTCTGCTGTCTTTCATACTTCCCTCTAAATGCTGCAGGATTGGATCTGGACCTCACTCCTCCAGCAAAGAAATGGAAGAAGGATATATACACACACACACACACACACACACACACACACACACACACACACTAAGAATACATACACTAAGAAAAATACACACACACACACACACTAAGAATATATAGTTTGTATTCTTGACTGATTGGTGTAACTAAATTATTCCAACAGTTACAAACACATTTGTGAATATTCACCCCATCATTGTCAAATCAATCCTGAAGCAATTTATATTCAACTTCTCATCATTGTGACCAAAATACCTGTCAAGAACAATTTAGAGGAAGAATAATTTATTTTGGGTCAGGGTTTCAGATGTTCAGTCTATGGTCGGCTCATTCTTTGGGCCCAAGGTGAAGCAGAACATCATGGTCAAAGGGTAAAGTGGAGGACTGCTGTTCCACTCATGGCAGCCAGGAAGCAGAGAGAGAAGGGAAGGGACTACAGGGAACATGAGCTCTTCTAGGACATGCCCCCAGTGACCCACCTCCTCCAGCCATAACTCACCTGCCTACAGTGAACTGACTAGGTTACAACTTTCACATTTCAATCATTTTACCTTATATTCAAACCATAACACAGTTCTTTCAGTAAGCATAAACAGAATATAGTAACTGTAATCTAAACCCTTTCTCAGGGGCCTTGGTTCGGAGAACTCCTGAAAGTAAGAATTTAAACTGAGTGGGATTTCCCTCCACTATTTTCTTAATAAAAATGACTGAATTGGCATAGCAGGCTTATCACAGCAAAAGTAATGAACAAAACTAAACAGCTCTGGATGGAACAGATCCCTGGATGGGTCTGTGTATTTCTCCTCTAGACATAATGGTCACAGAATCATTGAATAAAATTACTTTCAGGGTCATGCAATCAATTTTCTGTGGGGGAGAGATGAGCATTGTGGAGACCACATACTTCTGGCAATCCTAGGCAAAAGTTTGTTGGGGACAGTAGAGCTATCTCTGAGAAATGTTAAGTTTTAAAGAGGTATATCCCAGGCAAACACTTTAATTTCAAATGCTTTGCTCTTCCACTTAGATCTCCCACCTCCTGCAACCCGAGAAAGACCACCAGGATGTAAAACTGTATTTGTGGGAGGTCTGCCTGAAAATGGAACTGAGCAGATCATTGTGGAAGTGTTTGAACAGTGTGGAGAGATCATTGCTATCCGGAAGAGCAAAAAGAACTTCTGTCACATTCGCTTCGCTGAGGAATACATGGTGGACAAAGCCCTTTACCTATCTGGTAGGTGTTCAGATGTGAAGACTGTGCCTATGAGCACAATGCAGAAATTGGAGATCAGAGTATTTACATCTGTAGCAGCTAAAATACAGTCTTAATGTTACCCACTGTAGCTTTCAAAGATGGAAAATGCACGTTACTTCCCACCTTCCTCGTGAAATGCTCTTGGGTAGCTCCCAAATGTCTATTAGATAACTCTAGACTCTTTAGATGTAGTATGATTATCTGCTCCATCTCTCAGCATCAACTCCCAAGTTTTCCTGCATACATAGTGTCCCAACCAACACTACATAAATTCTAGCCCAGAATGTGCCATAGTATTTTTTTATTTATTTCTTACATACATGACAATAGTGGAATGCATTGCATTCATAATTATCCATTCACAGCACAATTTTTCGTAATTCTGTATATAAAGTATGTTCATGGAAAATTATGCCATTTTACATGAGCTCTCTTAATTTTTTTTGCATTACAATTCTTAAAACACCTTTATACCACAATTTATCATATCTCTGTTTGTATATAAGGTATGTTGACACCAAATTCACATCTTCATACATGTATTTTGTATAATGATGACTGTCTCCTTCCACCATCCTTGCTATTTCCCTTCTCCCTCCTCTTCTCTCCTACCCCTATTCTCTATCTAGAGGTAATCTTACTCCCATGCTCTTCCTCCTTACCCCACTTTGATTCATCCCCCTTATATCAGAGAAAACATTTAGCATTTGTTTTGGGGGGATTGGCTAACTTCATTTAGTATAATCTTCTCTAATGCCATCTATTTCCCTGCAAATGCCATGATCTTATTCTTTTTTATTGCATTCTACAGTATTCTACAGTAGAGTATTTTAATAAGAATGTAAAGATCTCAAAAAGCGCTGAGTAGTTATACATTAAAGGCAATATACTGCTCAGAAAGCACCTATCTAAACATCACTGAAATCAGCTCTGTTAAAAACCATCACCTAAAAACATTTTCAGTGCTGCCAAAGGAAATAAACAGCAATCAGTTTTGTGAAAATAACTAATTTTTTCCCTTTAAACTTGAACCTGCTCCCTGGAAGTTCAAAAATGCTAGAAATCTCCTAAAAGGGATGGATGATATCTTGCATTATAAAAGAAAGTGATTAAAACAAGCAAGCAGTCAGCCTGTCCCAGGCTACCACACTTGTTCTGTAATCCCAGTGGCTCTAGAGGCTGAGGCAGGAAGATCCCAAGTTCAAAGCCAGCCACAGCAAGGGTGAGGTACTAAGCCACTCAGTGAGACTCTGGCCCTAAATAAAATACAAAATAGGACTGGGAATGTGCTTCCCTGGTCAGTGCCACTGAGTTCAATCCCCAGTACCCCTCTCCCCACCCCACCCCCCAAAAAAAACAAGCAAACAAAAATTCCATAGAAAATGGACCAGAAAACATTGAAAAGAATATAGAAAGGATCTTTATTATTGGATTTTAAGGATCTTTGGGAGCTGTACAGAGAACACCCACCCATAGCATCATAGCATCTTAGTATGGTTTATATAGAACTTTCATTTCATCCTCTCTTTTTGATTCTTTCCACAGTCCTGGGTGATTTGTCAAAGTAATCATTTGTAGCTCCATTCTTCTGATGACTCAGATGATCAAGTAAGATGCATAGGTATAAGGGTACATTACAAACTACAAAGGGACCTAGAAAAGTTTGCCTATGAAATGTGTTTATTCTTCTTCATCAATGTATGTATGGCTATTTTCCTGGGCATTATTCTTTAAAACATCTATATTGAGGTATAATAATTGACATACAATGACCTTCACATAGTTCAAAAATACAGTTGTACAATATTTGATATATGTATATACAGCTGTGAAACCATCACCATCATCATTCATCATAAGATGAATATACCTGCCATCCCCAAAGCTTCCTTTATGCAATCTCTTCCTCCTACCCCTCCCCACTTCCTTCTCAGGCAACCACTTATCTGCTCCTTGTCAGATTAGTATGCATTTTCTAGAAATTCATATAAATGGAATCATACATTATGTATGCTCTTCCTTCCTTTGTATAGATCCATATTTCCCCCTTGGTATCATTTTTCTCTACACATGGATTTCCTTTAACATTTTTTGTAGTGCAGGTCTGCTCCTGATGAATTCTTTCAGCATTTGTGTTTAAAAACAATATTTTCCTTTTTTGAAAGATCTTTTTTGCGTATTTATTTCTAGGTTGACAGGTTTCTTCACCCCTCTCTAGATGTTGTTCCAATAGCTTCTTGCTTGCATTGTTTCCAACAATAAATATGATGTTGTCCTTACATTTCTTTCTCTGTACATAATGTGTCTTTTATCTATGGTTGCTTTTAAAATATTCTCTTTATTGGTGATGTTGAGCAATTCAGTTAGGATATACATTGGTGTAATTGTCTTCATGTTTCGTGTGCTTGAGTCCATTAAACTTGTTCAATCTGTGAGTTGTAATCAAATTTATTTTCCTCCCTTTATTTCTTCAAATATTATCTCTGTTCCTTCCACTCTCCCCTCAATATCAGGGCTGTAGTTAGGCATATATTTGGCCCTTTAACGCTGTCTCACAGCTCAGTGGTATTCAATTCACTTTTTCAAAATAATTTTCACTTTGTATTTCATTTTGGATGGTTTTTTTATTGCTATATGTTTAAGGTTTTTTTTTTCTTTTGCAATATCTAATTTGCTATTAGTCCTATTCAGTGATTTTTTCCAACGTAGACATTGTAGATTAAATCTCTAGAAGTTTGCTCTTTTTCATATCTTTTGTGTTTCTACTTAATATGTTCAATATTTTCTCTAGCTGCTTGAATATATGATATCCAACTTTGATACTTGCTTTTACGTTATTAACTATTAGTTACATTATCTGTATCACTTCTGGTTCTGTTTCAGTTGGCTGATTTTTTTAATCTTAATTATGGGCAATAGTTTCTTGCTTATTTGCACACTGGATAATTTTCATTGGATACCAGCTATTGTGGATTTTACTTTATTTGGCAACAGATACTTTTTATTCTTCTAAAAATCATGAGCTTTGTTCTGAGATGAAGCTTACGTAACTTGGGAACACTTGTCCTTTGAGTTTTACTTTTTAAGCATTGTTCAGCAGGATCAAAGCAGTTTAGTCTACTGCTAATTTTTTCTCCATTATTGAGACAACCCTTCTGATTGCCTGGTACTCTGTGAAGTATGAGTTTTTCTGCTCAAACTGGGGGAAAGGAGTTTATCCTATCCCTGTGTGAGCTCCAGAGATTGTTACCTCTAAGATTCAGGTGATTTTCACTTATTCTTATAGAAGACATTAATGCTCAGCTAAATAATGAGGGAGGATCTTCTGCAAATCTCTGAAGTGCTTTGTACAGATTTCTTCCTCTGGCACTGTGCCTTTGGAACTCAATTTGCCATAGTCTCCCTGGAATCCCAGTTCAACCCCCTCACCTTTGGAAGAACATCATGCTCTTTCGTCCTGAGTTCCCCTGGGACAATCATAGGGATCATTTTATATGGTTCTTGTCTTTCAATAATCATTGCCTTCATTGTCTAATGTCCAGTCTCTTAAAAAAAACATTGTTTCATACATTTTGTCCATATTTTAGTTATTTAAAGAGAAGGGCATATTTAACCCATACTACTCTATCTTATCAAGGAACCAAAATCTATGTTGTGCATTATTCTGAAGAATAGAGGAAAGCCCAATATATTTGTAGTATGTAGTCCTGGATTCAAATTTTTGTTCTGCCATTTGCTAGTTGTTTGGTCAAGGGCAAGCTGTTTAACCTCTCTGATGCTCAGTTTTCTCTTTGGTAAAATGTTTATCCTGAAAATTTGTGCTGAGAATGAAATGAAATTATTTATATATATATATATATATATATATATATATATATATATATATAGTTTCTACTTAATATGTTCACACATATATATACATGTAAATATATATACATATACACATGTATATACACACACACATATATATATACACATACATACATACACACACAAAAGCATCTACTTCAGCTCCTACGACTTAAAAAGTACTTAACATTTTTCTTCACTATTTGTTAAGAGACTTGACTTGGGTGGTGTAGCTGGCACAAAATTGGAGGTAGGGAGCTAAATGCTGGTTTTCTAATCCCAATTCTGTACCACTCACTTTTTACAAATGTACCAACTATTACAAATGTATCCACTTTTTTTGAGTATCCCAAATTATGTGTCACCTGGGTTATATTCTACTCCCCATCATAGAGAAAAAAGTAACAGTAGACTAAATTGCTTTGATCCTGCTGAACAGTGCTCAAAAAGCAAGACCCAAACCACAAAAGTTAGCCAACTGAAACAGAACCAGAAGTGATACAGATAATGTAACTAATAGTTAAGAATGTAAAAGCAAGTATCAAAGTTGGATATCATGTGTTCAAGCAGCTAGAGAAAATATTGAAAATATTAAGTAGAAACACAAAAGATATGAAAAAGAGCCAAACTTCTAGAGATTTAAACTACAATGTCATTTTTTAATGCAGAGTAATACTCCATTGTGTATAACTGCCACATTTTTTTTATCCATTCGTCTATTGAAGGGCATCTAGGTTGGTTCCACAGTCTTGCTATTGTGAATTGTGCTGCTATGAACATCGATGTAGCAGTGTCCCTGTAGCATGCTCTTTTTAGGTCTTTAGGGAATAGACCGAGAAGGGGAATAGCTGGGTCAAATGGTGGTTCCATTCCCAGCTTTCCAAGAAATCTCCATACTGCTTTCCAAATTGGCTGCACCAATTTGCAGTCCCACCAGCAATGTACAAGTGTACCCTTTTCCCCACATCCTCGCCAGCACTTGTTGTTGTTTGACTTCATAATGGCTGCCAATCTTACTGGAGTGAGATGGTATCTTAGGGTGGTTTTGATTTGCATTTCTCTGACTGCTAGAGATGGTGAGCATTTTTTCATGTACTTATTGATTGATTGTATGTCCTCCTCTGAGAAGTGTCTGTTCAGATCCTTGGCCCATTTGTTGATTGGGTTATTCGTTTTCTTATTGTTTAATTTTTTGAGTTCTTTGTATACTCTGGATATTAGGGCTCTATCTGAAGTGTGAGGAGTAAATATTTGTTCCCAGGATGTAGGCTCCCTATTTACCTCTCTTATTGTTTCTTTTGCTGAGAAAAAACTTTTTAGTTTGAGTAAGTCCCATTTGTTGATTCTAGTTATTAACTCTTGTGCTATGGGTGTCCTATTGAGGAATTTGGAGCCCGACCCCACAGTATGTAGATCGTAGCCAACTCTTTCTTCTATCAGACGCCGTGTCTCTGATTTGATATCAAGCTCCTTGATCCATTTTGAATTAACTTTTGTGCATGGCGAGAGAAAGGGATTCAGTTTCATTTTGTTGCATATGGATTTCCAGTTTTCCCAGCACCATTTGTTGAAGATGCTATCCTTCCTCCATTGCATGCTTTTAGCCCCTTTATCAAATATAAGATAGTTGTAGTTTTGTGGATTGGTTTCTGTGTCCTCTGTTCTGTACCATTGGTCCACCCGCCTGTTTTGGTACCAGTACCATGCTGTTTTTGTTACTATTGCTCTGTAGTATAGTTTGAGGTCTGGTATCGCTATACCGCCTGATTCACACTTCCTGCTTAGAGTTGTTTTTGCTATTCTGGGTCTTTTATTTTTCCATATGAATTTCATAATTGCTTTATCTATTTCTACAAGAAATGCGGTTGGGATTTTGATTGGCATTGCATTAAACCTATAGAGAACTTTTGGTAATATCGCCATTTTGATGATGTTAGTTCTTCCTATCCATGAACAGGGTATATTTTTCCATCTTCTAAGATCTTCTATTTCTCTCTTTAGGGTTCTGTAGTTTTCATTGTATAAGCCTTTCACCTCTTTTGTTAGGTTGATTCCCAAGTATTTTATTTTTTTTGAGGATATTGTGAATGGAGTGGTTGTCCTCATTTCCATTTCAGAGGATTTGTCGCTGATATACAGGAATGCCTTTGATTTATGCGTGTTGATTTTATATCCTGCCACTTTGCTGAATTCATTTATTAGCTCTAATAGTTTCTTTGTAGACCCTTTTGGGTCTGCTAGGTATAGAATCATGTTATCTGCAAATAGTGATAATTTAAGTTCTTCTTGTCCTATTTTTATGCCTTTAATTTCTTTCATCTGTCTAATTGCTTTGGCCAGTGTTTCGAGAACTATGTTGAACAGAAGTGGTGAGAGAGGGCATCCCTGTCTTGTTCCAGATTTTAGAGGGAATGCCTTCAATTTTTCTCCATTCAGAATGATGCTAGCCTGAGGCTTAGCATAGATTGCTTTTACAATATTGAGGTATATTCCTGTTATCCCTAGTTTTTCTAGAGTTTTGAACATAAAGGGATGCTGTACTTTGTCGAATGCTTTTTCTGCATCTATCGAGATGATCATTTGGTTCTTATTTTTAAGTCTATTGATGTGGTGAATAACATTTATTGATTTCCATATATTGAACCAGCCTTGCATCCCAGGGATGAATCCTACTTGGTCATGGTGCACAATTTTTTTGATATGTTTTTGTATCCGATTCGCCAGAATTTTATTGAGGATTTTTGCATCTAGGTTCATTAGAGATATTGGTCTGTAGTTTTCTCGCCTCTCGTGTGTGAGACCATGGGTTCGATCCTCAGCACCACATAAAAGTAAATTTAAAAATAAACAAAATAAAAATATTGTGCCCATGTATAACTAAAAAATAAAAACAGGACTAACCCAACAGAATAGTAAATAGTTATTGGAGATGACATTGCAATTTGTCTTTTGGTGATTCACCTTGGTAGCATATATAATCATGAAATAGAGAATTGGGGATTTTGTGGTCACTTGGAAGTGCTGTAACCACACCTGAAACACTGAACTTGTGCTTACTAGTCTGCTGTTCTCTCCCCTTTCCACTCAAACTTAGGTTACCGAATTCGCCTGGGTTCTAGTACTGACAAAAAGGATACAGGCCGGCTGCACGTTGATTTTGCACAGGCTCGAGATGACCTGTATGAGTGGGAGTGTAAACAGCGCATGCTAGCTAGAGAGGAGCGCCACCGGAGACGGATGGAAGAAGAAAGACTGCGCCCTCCATCCCCACCCCCAGTGGTTCACTATTCAGATCATGAATGCAGCATTGTTGCTGAAAAACTAAAAGGTATAGAGGCATTCAAGTTTCATGATTAAAAGAATTCTTTTCTTTAGGAAATTGAAATAAATATCATTGTATTATTTGTGGTTACCCTTTGAATATCCCACACGTGGATTCTGAGCATTTCTTGTGTTGGAGCCTTGCTGATAGAGAGCTATACCTAGTAATTCAAGATCCAGGAAATTTGTCCATGCCACCTATGTCTCTGCTTCTTCATTGTCTCAAGGGATAGTGTTTTCCCCTGTAGGCATTAGATGACTAAGAAATACGGTTTTCCCACTTTCCACATCAGAGACTATTAGGTGTGATTCATCACTGGGAACCTGTACATGCCCTCGTTCATAGTAGATGCAAGTAAGCTTTGAATTCTAAATTGAATGAGTGAATCAGCATGATATAATTTGATGTGACCCTAATAAACCCTGGTAAAAATCCTCATTTTAAAGATGAGAAAATGAAGGCACGGAAGTAGTCACAGTGTACATTTTTCTTAGATTACTCAAAGACTTAGCCACAAATTACTAAAGGAAGACTTTTTTAATCTCTTAAAAAGGCCAATTTATTTCACACAGAGGCTATGGAAACTTCCAGACATTGCTAAGTCAGATTGCTTTTCCTTTAGTTTTGATTCATGTTCCTCTTGCTTGATTCTCAAAGCCATTTTGCTAATTTAACATTAATCAACCTGCCTGCTCTCTTCATAGTAGGTCAAACCAGTCTCTCATTTTCTGAGTATAGTTGATTTTATTGAATGAATGCTGATGTCCCACTGATCTTATTGGTGACTCCAACCCAGCTCTAATGGTATGAATTTGCTTCCTTCTTGTGCTCTCAGCTCAGCAAGATCCTGCTAATTCCACTCTCTAAATAGGTCTCACTCACCAAACTTGTTTACATGACATACTCTAAGTGACTCACACTTTTAAGAAATCAGTTCTCTTTGGGTTGATTTAAACTTCTTGCAAAGTAAAAAGCAGGAAATATAGAATCTAGAATAAAGACACAGAAATAATCGTACATTTTGAAAAATTGGGATGGCTGAAGGCATTGATAAGATGCCAGCTCCAAGACTTGCCTATTCACATGATACCAAACAAGTCAGTTTCAGTGAAAAACAAACATACAAAAAAAAGAATTTTCTGGTAGCGTGGCCCTCAAGAGAAACAAAAAACTGAGCATCAACATCAAGACTGTATCCAAGTAATGAAATGAAAAGCTGGTATAAAGAGAAGGCTGACCTCCTATTTTATGCCTTCAATGAAAAAAGAGCAAGAGGCAAGAAGTTCAAATTGCAGTGAGAGATACTTCCACTTGACAGAAGGGTTTCTGGCCAGAGAGGGATGTGAAGCCCTAGAATGGGGATTCAATGGGATGCTAATGGACTTTCCCTCTCAGGAGTCTGTAATAGCAGAGTGCATAAATGGCTTTCAGGGAGCTGAACCAGAAGCTTTGGAAGATCTGAGCTAATGTCTTAACATCAGAGAATAACTCCTAACTAGCTGCAGACATCTACTTTGAGGATTCTTCCAGCAAGAGAAAAAGAATGTGAAGAAATACAGAAATAAAATGAACTGCATCAAAATAGACTGGGACTGGGACTGAGAGGAAGGCCTAGAGCTATGGATTACATGCAGGAGTGATGTTATAAAAGGTCAAAGATATGTTTATACCTAAAGAATTGCCCATTTACCTCCTTCCTAAGGCCCCTTTCAACACTATAATTCCATGGATCCTGGGTAAAGTTAATGTCAACATGAAGTTAAACTCAGGACTCATGTTTATTTTTCCTTGTTAAAACAGGATTAGAGAATTCTGAAGTTGCCTCACTGCTAACTCATAGCTCATTCTCATTCCCCTCATCTCTCATGCAAGCATGCAGGTGTGTACACACACACACACACACACACACACACACACACTCCGAAAAGTTAGGCAATTTACAGTACATGAAAATTATAATATCTGTGCAGAAAAATGTCTTGTTTTTTTTGGTGCTGGGAATCAAACCAGGATTTAAGCATGTATGCACCCTGCTACTGAGGTACACCCCAGTGTAGAAAAATTTTGTTAAGGAAACAACAAACAATTATATTTCTGAAATAACCTACAGCCAATCTAAGTACTTTTGGAGGCTTTTGTTATTTCTGCCTTTCTGCCTGCCTGCCCTTTATGTGCAGTGCACATGTGTGTGCGCGTGTAGCTCCTCATCCTCAGCAATTTACTAAACCATGACTGCCAAAAAGCCATGATGACCGCCTTGGCAGCATGTTGGGAAAATATTTTAATGGAGATTAGGTTGCATTTGATAATTCTAAAAATAAACTCTTTTTTTCAGATGATTCCAAATTCTCAGAAGCTGTGCAGACCTTGCTCACCTGGATAGAGCGAGGAGAGGTGAACCGCCGCAGTGCCAACAACTTCTACTCCATGATCCAGTCAGCCAACAGCCATGTCCGCCGCCTGGTGAATGAGAAAGCTGCCCATGAGAAAGATATGGAAGAAGCAAAGGAGAAGTTCAAGCAGGCCCTTTCTGGAATTCTCATTCAATGTGAGTAGAAGTTAAGAGTTCTTCTGGAAGGGTGAGAGGGTGCTTCCCTTAGTCACCACTTGTTCTCATGGGAGCCCAGGCCTATAGAGCCATCATCCTGTGTTAAGGAGCAAGGCTATCTTCCTCCACCACCTCGTGCTCTCTTTGTATTGCCAAACACCAAAGCTCTAGTTTCACAGGATTCATGTGAGCATCTTCTATTTTCATTTCCTCTGGTGTATCTACTTCAGATCCTTAGAAATACTGATACTTAGACCACATTCTGTACTTAATAGTACCAAGCTTCAGTGAAGGGGGTGGTATTTTATTGCTGACATTAGGATATAGCATTAGTGTTTTTCTGGGGGGAGGTTTGGGAATTGAACTCAGGGGACCTTTACCACTGAGCTGCCTCTCCAGCCTGTTTAAAAATTTGTATTTTGAGTTTTATTTTAAGTTTTATTTTAATTTTATTATTAAGTTCCTTGTGATCCTCTTCCCTCAGTCTCCTGAATAGTAGTCATGTGTCAGCATTTTAAAACTGTTTTTCTTCATATTTGCCTCATTGTCATTATTTTAATAAGCTTTTTATGGCCTTTTAATGATAAAAATTATAATTCCTAAGATGTGATTGAATAAAAAACAAATTTGCTACTTCTGTGTTTTATATTTAGTTTCTTCTCTTCCACTGCCTTTTCTGAATATGATAGACACTGTGACAGGGTGAAAAGCCATTGAAATGGGCATTTTCTAAAAAGAAGTACCACTTTAAACCTTTTCAAGTTTTCCTAAATGAGATAAAATAGATAAATTGTCAAGTCATTTTTTGTTCACTATCTTACAAAATTACACACTCATAAATTTTCAGTAAGGAACTACACTCACCTTAAGAATAAGGGTGCAGTTTTATACTTTGAGTTTTAAACAGTTATGGTCCACTCTTCCTATACTTGCTACACTTTCTTTGTATATAATTGGGATTAAGGAATTGTTCCATTTTCCACTTGTATTTGGAAGTATATATGGGCATAAAACCCAGGAAGTGAAAATGTATGTCTTCAGGACTTCAGAATAAGTAGAAAAAGAGAGCAGCAAGTATTATAGGAATATAAATCCTTAACTCACTAGATGACAGTGCAAACTGGGCTATAAAAAAACAGTACCTCCAGATTTTCTTAGTGAACACCCCAGCCTATCAGGGGCTCTTGTCCTGCTTTTCTTTCTCCAGAATTGTCATTCATATCATATCTAAGCTTCCCCTCTCTTGAACTGATTAAGATAAAGCCCTAGAATATTTGTACATATTTCTCCATTTAACATTTTAAGAGACCCTGAATAATACTCTCTGGGACTGCACTTACACAGTCTTCTTCCATAAAACTTACATTTTCCAGTCAACAAGTCTGTTTAGGTATCCTTAAAATAGGCAGTCCATCTTAGGTTTTGATTTGATGATTCTGATTAAATATACCTCAGAATAGTGAAAGGAAAATTCTATTGAAGTGAAGCATCCCAGATTATTTAAAAGGGCTAGTTAATGAAAGAACTCAGTGGTAGAAGTTGCTGGTACAGTTTGTTTCTGCAGTATGTAAGGTCAGTATACTAACTAAACACAAGTACTAAACTAAAGCACGTTTACCGTGTCTCTTACCTCTCTTGTCTGAATAAATACACACTGTTTATATTAAAACTTAAGCTATCATTTCATCTCAAACCCTGGGGGTTCTGTTTTTTTTTCTTTCTATATATTGATGTCTCTTTCTTTGAGTCCCCTTTAAAATCATAGCCAGCACACATAACCTGTTCCAAGTTCAACCATGGCCTAGTACAGTGTTATAACAAAAAGACACAAAAAGCCTAATGTTTCTCTTTTATTTCTCTCCTCCTGTCTTTTGCCATCCCCGGATGATACTCTGGCCTGATCCAAATGCTGATTTGATGCTGCAGTTGAGCAGATAGTGGCTGTTTACCATTCTGCCTCCAAACAGAAGGCATGGGACCACTTCACAAAAGCCCAGCGTAAAAACATCAGCGTTTGGTGCAAACAAGCTGAGGTTGGTAACTTTTTACTCTGGTAGCTCCTCAGGGGGATACTTTCTTTCTTTAACAAGTTATTGATTTGGAATTTAGCCAGAATTAAATAGTGCCAAGCTCCCACGGTCACAACAAGGCCCTAATGAAAGACTAAGACATATCCTATAGCCTGTCACAGTGTCCAGAACACCTGCTGTCAAAAGGGGAATAAATGTATGTGTGTTGTCTTGAATGCATTCTGCTGGCTGGAAACCTTAGTAGTGAAAGTGTATCTGGGATAATTATAAGTTTAATTCTCTAAACTAGCTATTCTTGAGCACAACAATAATTACACCTGTGTTTCTAGTGTTAGTAATATTAAGGCTGTCTTAACATTTATTGGAGTGTCTTGACAATTGAGACTAGAAGCTAACTGGTGTTACATTGGAAAAAAAGAAAATTTCTAAGCTTCTCTTATCAAACCTGTTTAGCCATCTTTAGAGGTAGCAGATTTAAAGGTAACAGAGGATTTTCATTTCAGATTAAGGTTGTCACACCTCTCTGCTAATGCTCAATTAACAGTTTTAGCTTAACACTATAATATACGTGATGTCATTAGGTTGCTATTCTGAATTCCAAGATTAAAAACCAAGATGGGGGGCTGGAGATGTGGCTCAAGTGGTAATGCACTCGCCTGGCATGCGCAGGGTACTGGGTTCAATCCTCAGCACCACATAAAAATAAAATAAAGATGTTGTATCCACCGAAAACTAAAAAAAAAAAAAAATTAAAAAATTTCTCTCTCTCTCTCTCTCCCCTCTCTCTTTCTCTCTCTCTCTAAAAAAAAAAAAAAAAAACAAGAAGGGAGGGGCTAGGGTTATGGCTCAGCAGTACAGTGCTTGCCTCACACATGCAAGGCCCTTGTTTCCATCCTCAGCACCACATATAAATAAATAAAATAAATTTATTGTGTCCAACTACAACTACAAAAAATAAATATTTTTTAAAAATGGGAGTTTGTTTTCACTGATCTACCTTTGGAAATGGTGTTATATATGCCATGAATTCTTCTGTTCCTGTGGGCAGCTTCCTTACCCAGTCCTGATATATTTCAATCTATATATGCAGCAACTTCATTTCTGGGTACTCTTTATCAGTCTGGTAACAATTTCATTGTATCTATCAATGCAGGTAGTCATATTTTTTAACAATTACATATCATTTATAAAACATTTACTTTTTGTGGCGCTGGGAATGAAATTCAGGACCTTGCTCATGCTAGGCAGGTGCTCTACCACTGAGCTACATCCCCTACCCCTGATACTTACATTTATGTGGCACATTCACATTGATTATTTCACCTACGTAGGCTCATGTTAGAAATGGTATAGTGGAAAGAGTATTAGACTTAAAGTCAATCATGAGTTCAAATCTCAGCTCTGCTATGTTTGTAGCTGTGCATATTGAACATGTTATTCAGCCTTTCTCAGTCTCTATTTCTCCATTTGTAAATTGGAAATAATGAAACCACTCTTACAAAATTAAATGAGTTAAGAAATGTGTAAATAGTTTGAAAATGTAAATAGCATTTCACCTAATTATTAACAACTTGATAAGGGATACTGAGTAGATATAGAATCCATGTTTTACATGTAATACTGAAATGTAGAAATGTTAAGTGATTCACATGAAATTACATAACAAGCAAGTGAACTAAAAATTCTCACTCTGAGCTCTGGTACAAAGTGATTTAACCTAGGTGAGCCTTTGATTCCTAACCTTTAAAATGAAGGCAATGATCTCTTCACTGTGTCCTTCATGAGAATATATGAGACAATTTGTGTAGGAACAGTTCAAAAGCCATGAAGAACATTTAGAAGAACATGATCCAAACTCCATTCATAAATTGATGACAGTCTGTCAGCCATCAGTTCTGGCACAGCAAAGGGATATGGGAGTCATTTGAGAGAGAAATCCCTGAAGACATCTGTCCAATGAATGGGTAGGGCCATAAAAAGCCAATAGCATCTTTACTTATTAAAAACAATTAGGAGCAAAAAAAGGAAACAGCTGTCCTACTGTAGCAAAAAGTGAGTTTAGAATTTCAGGGCTAACTCAGGTTGTTGATCCTCTGCAAACAAAACTCAACATTGGGCTTCAAAGGTTTACTGAGTACTTTCTCTGTCTCAGGCATTGTAACAAGTAACACAGGATGAAATAGTCTTTGCCCTCTGGGAGCTAATAGAGGAATGAAAATGGTCAAGAGGAGAAGTGGAGTTTTGTACACTAAATTTCAAATATCTGAACTCATTAGTTCAGAAGAATAAAGGTTGAACAAAAAATGCTCAGTGTCTTAACAATTGTAGAAAAGTAGTACAAGGTAAGTATCCCTTATCCAAAGTGTTGGAGCCAAAGTGTTTCATATTTTGAGTTTTTTTTCAGATTTGGGGATATTTGTGAATACATGAGATTTCCTGTGGATGGGACCTAAGTCTAAATAGAAAATTCATTTATACTTTATATGCACTTTATACACATAGCTTAAAGGTAATTTTATACAATAGTGTACCTGCATTTTGATTGCAACCTGTCACATGAGATAGGAGTGGAATCTTCTACTATGGCATCACAACAGCCCTCAAAAAGTTTTAGATGTTAGAATAGTTTGGCTTTCAGGTTGGGGATTAAATCAATCTATAGTGTCTCCTCCTTCCCTTCAATACACATATATTTGTATCCCTCCTAGGGTTAGAAGAAGATATATGACCAGCTGCACCCTTTAAAGCAAGCCCTGCTAGTACAATGTTGCCATTTTATAGAAGGAAGGGAGCCTCTGGTTAGAGCAATGGCCTCCAGGCTATGACCCTTTTGTAAACTGCATTGTAATAAAATATTCCCCATGGATATTATTTGTTAGGGATCTATTAGTTATATATCAAGTCTACCTATGTGGTAGGAATATACTTGAGTTTAATGAGGTTCACAGTAGAGATAGCTGTGCCAGTGAGATGGACATTTCTCTGGGCCTGAAGAGAATTGAGAGCTATGCACCCTATTAACCAACTTATGTGTCAGGCATTTCATCATGGTAGAAATTTCTGGTGCTTAACCTTTTCACCAGTTGCCTTTGGGGAAAAGTTAGTTGGTCACCTCCTCATGTCATAAAATATCTGTTATTTGTTTCATTGTCATCCTTCTACGAGCAGCCAACACTGCCTTACTCTGCTCAGAGACAGGGTATGGAGCAAGAAGGAAAAGGCCCCACCTTTGGGGAGTTCAAGCACTAACTTTGGCAGCATATGTCAGGCAAACTAATTTGCTAATATGTCTTTACTTTCCTGATTTATATGTGTGTGGGTTTCCTGCAAATACAGTTGTAAAGGGTAGTAAGAGAAGGCTGAAGTCCCACCCCTTACTGAAAGTTAGTATCCACAGTGACTACTAGCATTTGTCTCTTTCATTGAAACTCTTTTTTTCTACAGAATCATTAAAAATTTTTGTGTCTCTGAAGCATGCCCTACACCAAAGGCTAGACCTTGGATGATATATAAAAACTAGAGCCACAGCAGGAGAAACTGAAGAGATAGTCCCTTGCATCCTCCCTAATATCAGATTTTATACCACTGGGCCAGAGGAAAAGGGGCCTGATGAAATACTATGATTGATAAAATAACTTTCTCTCTAGATTTGCAGGCCTACCATTCCAAACTCTGAAGAACTGTTTGCAGACAGACATTCCAACCATCCACATACCCTCGTTTTAGGACACATTTGCACTAACATTGGCTGTTGGCTTTCAGCTACAAAAAAAAAAAAAAATTATAACCCAATTTGAATCATCCTAATTTGTATTTTCATTATATATCATACAATAGACATTGATCAAGTACCTGTGTTTGTGCTTTGCTTCATTATATTAAATGATACCTCAGAATCAAATTGCTAATATAAGTATAGAAAGCTATCTCCCTGTCCTCTGCTCCTTTTCATTCCCTCATGACCCTTTCCCTGCCAAGTTTCCTGTTAATGTTGAAAATCCAGGTAAGTAGAATCTTGTTACAAATTTAATAAGGAATGTTGATTTTTCTGGTAATCATGTTACTATCAAAAAATATAAATAAGATGAATTTAATTCCACATAAATTTTTGTGAAACTATTGTTAGATAATTAATGTGTAATTAATTATAATTTGCTTACTTTATAATAAATCAAAAACACCAGCTAGTGAAAAAGTAGTTCTTTTCAGGCACTTCCCTCTGTCTTGGGTTTCAATTTAATTCCATCTGAAAGTACATTTCATTGTCCATTGTGGAGCAGTAGGAATTTCTAAGCTTCTGAAAAAGTAACTATTAGAACAGATGTAAAGACAGTATTGTGCCATTTCAGAAATCACTAACAATTTACTATTGAACTGAATGATAGCAAATATCTACAATGGGCAATAAAGTAGCATAAAATCTTTAGAAGGGCCATCTTACCTTATTTGATGTACTGTTAGTGTCATGACTTGGTTGTTTTCTGGTAGAGATTTACATACGCAAATTCCCAAAAATGGTTTTGCATGGCATTGGTGCTCTTTTAGTTTCAGCTCTAGAAAAACTGAGAGGTAGCAATTTCCTTTTCTGTCTGTACTTCAGTGGCTTAGAATCCTTTCCTTTTATATACCTATGTCTGATCTAGGTAAAGCACCTTTTCCAGACACATGCCACCTTATAACCCCTCACTCTGAAGGTATTGGTTAGGGTGTGCTTCCCAAAGTAGAGCTTTTCTTATCTAACCAGAGAATGCAGAAAATGGATATCTCAAGTATAAAATGCTATAATGGTAAGGTTTTCAAAGAATTACGATCTCACTCATTTTTCTTGGAGGTATAGTCATTTACTAAGTGATTCCTATGACTTCACTTTAGTATGGTACCCCATAATCTCTGCTGTTCTCTTTGCTTTTATACCATTTGTGTGACTTAGTATTGGTTATTTATAGAAGAATAATGTTATGAGTCTTTCTTTATAGCTTTCAACAGTTGTCTAGTGGGTAGAGGACTCTGAGCTCTGCTAATTTACTTAACTGAACAACTTAGAGCAAACTTCCTTTTTTTCTTACCCTCATTTCATTGTCTGCTAAATCAAATGGTAATTCTTATTTCTAGAGTATTTTGAAGCATTTAGGTAAAATTTGCCCCTAAGTCTGTTATATTTCTAGGGAGTTTTGAAGTTGTGAAAGACATCTAGATAAGCCATATCACGTAGTGACTGAACTTTTTATATTTCTAAGAAGAGATTATGGTTTCTTGTCAGCTAGAAGCACAAAAATGTTTTGTGGATGCTGAGCAGCTACAGGAAGTGTCTTAGTTCTCATATTTTCCTGCCCTTGGATATTTCCCTAGAAGGAACATAATCCTTCTGGGAAACACTAACATTCCCAGGGTTGTGTGACACGTGTGAATTGAGAGTTGATCTCTGTTTATACCCTCTGACGGTGTACATTTTTGTTAGTCATCTAGAAAGCCACAACTTTTCCTCATGCAGTAAGTTGTACAATACTGTAATTTGCCAATGTCAAACCTCATTATAATCACCTTTCCAGTAACAGCTCTGATGATAACTGAAATTCAGTCTCCTGAGATACAATGAGTCACAGCAATAAGAAATTCCTTTATTTTTCTCTGTGCGGTGAGTTGGAATAAGACATAATAAATCTCTCTTATGACACAGATGTTTAAAGTTCATTTTTCTCAAGCTAGTCATTATTTTATTCTATTTAAAATAATACACCTGCAGTACACGGAAGATGCTATATTACCATCTGATTTTTCTACTACTTCTTTTTAAAAAATATTTATTTTTTAGGTATAGATGAACACAACACAATGCCTTTATTTTTATGTGGTGCTGAGGATCGAACCCGGGTCCCACCTGTGCTAGGCGAGAGCTCTACCGCCGAGCCACAATCCCAGCCCCATCTATTACTTCTTAATTTTGCAATGATACTGAATAGCTCACCTTTTAAAGGGCCTCTTATTTAATGAAAACTTAACTTGAAATAGAAATCATTATTTTTTCTTGATAAGAGGAATAAAAAAGGAGAAATAATGGAATAGTGGAATAGTGACTAATTGGAATAGTGACTAATTGCAGCGTTAATTATTGGGAAATCCATTTTAGATATATATAATCCCCACAAATGGTGACAATTTTTACCAGACAGCTTTGGATACTTTCTGTATGAAACCTAGTAGGGGTCAATCTAGGCAAGGAATTTGCAACTCAGAACTAAGGGGCCTCTGACAGGCATTAAGTAGCCTTTAAATGATTTTGAGCTGCTCCAAAATGCACAGTTACCATGTTTACTTTTTCTAATGTGACTTTTCCAGTGTGATCTTGATAATTTGTAATGTTCTTCATGTCTTCCTGAAGAGCTTTATATATATCAGGTAGCTTGTCTCTAAAGCATGAAAAACTTTCTTCAGCATTTTCTATAGTACAGGTCTCTTGGTGATGAATTCTTACATTTACTTTTGTTTGAAAAATATACTTATCTTTTTCTCTGCATACAGAATTCTGAACAAATGAATATTTTTATTTAAACTTTAAAGATAATATTCTACTGACTTCTTGGTTTTATCATTTCTGAAAGAAATGAAAATTATTGAAATTATTCCTCTCTATATAATGTTGTGTTTTCCTCTGCTTTCAAGAATTTCTCTTTTCTCTTGTTCCTAGACATCCTTTTCTCCACACATATCCCACTTGGAATTAACTGATCTGTTTGAATATGTAGATTGGTGTCTTTCATCAGATTTGAGAAGCTATCAACCATTATTTCTTCACATATTTTCAAATAATTCTCTCTGGAATTTCATTTACATGTAGGTTAGACCTTTGAGTAATCAGTGCAAGCAGACAATTCTCTCAGCTTCTGTTATTTAAAATTTTTAATATATATGTATATATTATAAAATTGTATATTTTATGGACATCTATCTTTTTAGCTGTATATATTTTCTCATGTTCTTCAAATTGAACACATATGTATTATTCTATATTTAAGTTCTCTCTTTATTCTGCCATCTCTATTCTACTTTTAGGCTCATCCAATTATTTTTATTTTGGGTATTGTGTTTTTTCAATTTTAGAATTACCCAGATGTGATAATCAGCAGATAAGGAATTAAAACAGCTATTATATCTATACTCAATTATATAAAAGAAATACAGAAAATATAATACATATCAGAAAAAGATTTTTTTTTTTACTTTTTAAATTTCCAGACAAACCACTCTTGGCTTTCTTATTTTCATACAAGAGAACCTTTGATCCAGAACTTTTGACTCATTTTTAAAGTTTTTGACCTTCTACCAAGATTCCCTATCTTTTTATTCATTGTGAGCATATTTCCTTTATATCATTGAAAATAGTTATAATAGCTGGTTTAATTCAATTCTTTGTCTGTTAATTACCACATCTGCATTATTTTAAAGTTGGTTTCTGCTGATTATCCTTCCTCTTGGAAATGGACCATCTCATCATAGTTCTTCATATATCAAGTATTTTGGACATTGTCCTGAATAAGTATGAATATTATGTTTTAAAGATTCTAAATTTTGTTAGGTCCTTCTAAAACTGTTGATCTTGTTTTGTTTTAATGGTGAATTTGTTTTTTTCAATTCAAGCTGGAAATCCTGTCTTTTGGGTGGCAGCTTAAATATCATTTCAAGGCTGGGGTTATAGCTCAGTGATAGTGTGCTTGCCTAGCACATGTGAAGCCCTGGGTTCGATCCTCAGCACTACTTAAAGATAGATAAATAAAATAAAGTTATTGTATCCATCTACAATTATAAAAAGTATTTTTTTTAAACGTCATTTCAGAGATTTTAATCTTAGCTATGCTGTGTGGAAAATTCCTGTGCTCTCATGGATGAGAGGCCATGCAAAAATTTGAACAGATCTCATATACACAATTTGAAGTGCTCACTATCTTGCATATTCTCATTCATTCTCATTCTCATTCTCTCTCTCTCCCTCCCCCTCCTTCCCTCCCTCCCTCCCTCTCTCCCTCTCTTTCTCTCTCATTTTCTCCTTTTGAAATACCCTCCTCATTTTCTAGTGCCTGTCATTGCAATGACCTCTCTCCTTGAGTTATTTAGACCACAAATACTGGGTTGTTTATTACAAATATAGCCACCCTGTGAATAGCTAACTCTGGTCTGCTCTCAGACTAAAAAGCCCTTTAAAAATTGAGACTCATCCTATGCTGTTCTCTTCCTCCAAGTGTCAGCTCCTCTTCAAAATATGGCTGCTTTTGTTGACTCTCCAAAGACATCGAGGAGTTACAGGTTTTGGTTTGTTTTGTGTTTTTGTTCAAAGATTATAGTTATTATCTATGAGAGGGTTGGTCTGGGAGGAGTTTACTCCTGACAGCTCATTTTTACCATAACTTCTAAAGCTTCAAGAATTCAATTAAGAATTCTGTCGAGTAAAACTGTAAGAGGAGAGGGAAAAGGATGGCAAGCAGCAAAATTAAAGTGTCCAACATGGGAAGGTGAAAATGGCAAAACCTTAAGAAAAAGTCCAGAAATCTGCATGAGTAAGAGATGAGGAGCCTTTCATGTCCAAAAGCAATTTCTAATGTGGGAGGGAAATAAGAATCATAGACTGTCAGAGCTCTGGGTCTTCAAAGAAAGCTCAGTGCAAGACACAGTATACCCAAGTGTGCTTTCTCTAATAAGACTGTTTTGTCCAATATGCTCTTTTGCCTTTGCCTAAAGAATGCTGAGATTTTAAAAATATGTCCAAAAAAGCTGCTTTATATTATTTTTAACTCTACTCATTTCCTCAACATTATTAAGGCTTTCCTACCTTAAAAGCATACTTTTTAACCTTAGGAAATCCGCAACATTCACAATGATGAATTAATGGGAATCAGGCGAGAAGAAGAAATGGAAATGTCTGATGATGAAATAGAAGAAACAACAGAAACCAAAGAAACTGAAGAATCAGGTAAAAATGTTTGTTTTGTTTTATTTAGCAAACATCTTTTGGGGCAATATTTTTAAACCTTTAACACAAAGTAAGATACGGGCATCAACCCACAAGACTGGACATCAAATAGAAATAATTTATGGGGCCTTTAGTTAAATATCACCATTGTGTCTATAGGATTTTCTGTGGTTTTCATTTATCCCAATCTTCCATTGAAATGCCTAAATAAAAGTGGTTTTTTTCCAAGAAGAACCAGGTATTTAGGCAGCAGTGTTCTATATTTTGGTTTTAATTTGTTAATAACATGTTCTGAAATAGAAAGCATGAGAGAGCCCATGTGTTAATACTACATCACTTTGACTTTACACTGAAATTAATAACAGATATAGATTTAAATGTTAACAAAATACATACACCAAAAGAAATCATGAAAAGAAGAAGTTGGTTTTATAATTTGAGGTGAAGGCTACAAAAAAGAAATAATAAATAATTTTTAATAAGTATATCTGCATAAAAATTAAATATTTGTATTTAAAAAGCCACAAAGTTAAAAGAAGGTCCATAAGTTAAAGAGAAATATCTGTAACTTATGACAATCTACATATCTTCTGCAAAGAGAAGTCCACAGTTGTCTGGGTAAAGGCTTTTGCTTTAACCTAATATAGTTAGGACCTCACTGTGAGACAGAAGCCATGGTATGAGTCCCCAGTAGGATCCATTGTGCAAACTTTTTGAAAAATAGGATAATACTCTGCTCTTCAATTTCATAATGAACCATCTTGGATGGAAGATTATCATGGGGAGATATAAAATACCAGCCAGAAGACCAGCCTTTTCAGGGAAACCATTCCAGACAATCTTAGGAGTTACATTATAAGAAGGTACAGCGGAAAATGCACTAGTTAGAAACCTCAGTTCTAGCCCCTGTTCTGTCCTTCTTGACCTGAGAGGGACTTCTCCCCCACTGACCCTCAGCTTCCACATTATAATCTGTACATTATAAAAATGATATAACCAGGATTTGTGATGGTTAAGTGAGTTCATTCATCTAATAACTGTTAAATGCCAAGTACTCTGGTAGATATTGGATATACAGTGCTATACTGCCCCTGATGTGTGTGAGGGAGCAGAGTGAAAAGAGATTGGTTGATTATAATTCAAATATGAGTTTTCTGGTTCCAGTACTTGTATATTGAAGTCAGAAACACTATATCCACTTGAGTGGTCTTAGAATTTTTACTCCATGAATAGAAACTCTTAAGGAAAGGAAAACAGCAAGTCATGATTTTAAAGAGGTATTCATTTGATGTTAAATCTGAATTTCCTCTGTTTTTGCCATCTTCTGGATCCCTGAACATTCAAACTACTATGTGTATTAAGTAAACTCTTTGTAATCAGTGGTTAGTTGGCATTTCAGGATAGCAAAGTAATTACTGCAAATAAATACTATAAATTTATAGTCAAAGTAAACAAAAGACTTTAATGGTAATTGAGCTATTCAAATTATTTAAGTGTATAACTTGGATGTTTTATAGCTGGTTAATCTATAATTTATAGAATCATCTCCACCTCAGTATCTACAATATTGTATACAGTGTTTATCCAGTGTTTCTGTGAAATAAATGCAACCATAATTTTGAACATCCACTTGATAAATTGCAGTGTTTGAGGAGTTATTGGGGGAGGGGAGGGTGTGTGGGAGATTCAGATTGAATGCACTTACTAGGGTTATATAATTGCATTTTGCTTCTGTATCTCTTTAGAGTTAAAAGCTGTATTGGCTACTGCACAGAATCTTATTCGTTTAGAGACTGGAAACTCCCTGACAGATCATCTTATAGCTATTTTCTTTCCTGTTCCACATGCCAGGATGCTGCTTTGTCAAATAAAGCTATCTACAATAGACTTAATGGAGCTTACCAAATAGCTTTTCTCCCAGAAGGTTTCAATTCATTTTAATTCAAGGACTTTTGTGCATTTTTCTTCCCCTCGATCGTATCTAATTCTGTTATCTCACTTCTATAGTACTCAACTGCAGAAATCCTGCTCAATGTGAGCTAGTGAGAGTATTCTCCATTTTTATCTAAATCAGGTACATGTTTTAGCTATCACTCGGTTCCAATTAAAAGCTTAAGCAACTATGTCTCAGAATTGTTGTCTTCTCTCTCTATGCTACCAAATTTGAATTCCGGGACCCTATAGTGTATCCCTGATTGTATTTTACTTCTCCCAAAAAAGTAAAACCAGTTACCTTTCCTTGGAGTGCTGCAAACATTTCTCTTCTTCCAGACACTGTCTTAGCCCATATTTGTGATGCAGTACTTGAAATACTTTTTCCATGGAAAAAAGAACTGTTGTGCTCAAAGCAAAGGGGGACAATCACACCAAAGCAAATCACGATATTGTGAAATTATTTTATTCTATTGTTAGCTATGATGGAAAATACATGTACTCAGTAAAGCAGCTGTTCCCTTTCAGCATGTATCGTCTGCTTTCTTCAATTAGACTAATGGTTCTCAGAATTGGTATGTGTAAGAATCATTTGAATTACCCTTGAAATTTTAGATTTCTGGGCTGCAGAGTCTGATCCAGTAGGTCTTTATTGGTGTCTGGGAATCAGCATCTTATTAGGCATCCTAAATGATTTAAATGCTGATGGTCCAGAAAGCTTATTTGGAAAATGTTGACTTGGACTAATTCTCCTTCATTATTCTAGTGAAAGTTTTCTTTTCCCTTGGTATCTGATCTCATTTTTCCTCCCCAATCCTCCACCTCCCATTATTCTCTCTTTAAGAGTTTGACCATCAAACAATATGTCCTGTAAACTAGTGGAAATATAGATGCAAATGTGTGTAAATCTACTGAAAATAGAAATAATCACTTGGTTCTAAACTAAAAAGTACTGATTGCAATGCAACAAGGGCAAGAAATATCACTGTGGACCAGTGTATTCACAGACGGTGAAAATCCATCAGAGAATTAAAAGTAAACAGGTTTGGATAAAAGGAACAAAAGTAAGAAAGCATCTGATATGGGGGATGAGTAATAGAGCAGGGTTCAAAGGCAGAAATAAGTGTGATGTGTATAGAGGGATAAAACATTGAGTGGGCAATAAGGGCCCAAATTCTGGGGGACCATGAATGACAGGTTTAGATTTAGTAAAGTAGGCAATATGAGACTGTATGCACATCTTGAGCATAGCACTAACACAATGAAAGTAATGTGAATGAATTGTGCATTTTAGAAGACAATTGTACATGAAGCAAGACCAGCCATAAGGTTTTATAGGATTTGAGATGTGAAATGATGAAGTTTGGGACAGAATGATGGCAATAGGAACTGGGGGAAAAGGTAGAATTAAAGGAAGCAATGGAGAATATAAGGTTAAAGATGTTGGGAGTCATTTTTATAGGAATGTACTAAAATCTTTGGCATGAGATTAGGATATAAATGATGAAAAAGAAGGAAGATCCTGGAATGAGTAGGCTTTCTAGTCTGGGAAAGTGGGGGATTTATGTTAATTCACTAAATCTCCCATAAGTACCACAAATTGGGAGATTTAAGTAACAGGTATTTATTGTCTCACAGTTTGGGAGGTGAGAAGTTCAAGATCAAGGTATCAGCAGAGCTGGTTCCTTCTGAGAGCTGTGAGGAAGAATCTGTTCTGTGTCTCTCCCCTAGCTTCTGATTATTTGCAGAAATCTTTGGCATTCTTTGACATGTAATACCCCAATCTCTGCCTTTGTGTTCACATGGCATTCTTCCTGTGTGCATCTCTTTCTCTACCAAAATTTCTCTTTTCTGTAAGAACACCAATCATACTGGATCAGGACCCACCCTAATGACTTTATTGTAACTTCATTACCTCTGTAAATACCCTGTTCCCAAATAAAATCACATTCTTAGAGCTTCAACATATCTTTTTTATGAAGGAGACACAATTCAATCCATAGCAGTATAACTGACATAATGGACTGATGGATGGGACTGATTTGTACTATATAATGACATAGGCCTCAGATAGAAAATGGTTAGGAAAAGGGAAAGATTTGTATTCAAGTCACAATTCAAGAAAGTTGAAAGAATAGAAAAATGTGGTGTTGAGATGTTGACTGAAGCTCTGAGAATATGAATAAATGATTATGAACAGCAAGAGAAAGAAAGAAGATCAAAAAGGTGAATATAGAACTTTGCAGCGAGAGGAAGTAGAAGAAGAATAGTTATCATAGGAGTTAGAGGGTTTAGAAGATGGCAGAGCAGATCTAGGCAGCAACTGTTGGCCCTACCACAGCCCAGAAATGAAGCAGTGAAAGAATAGCTGACCAGAGAGGTGGGTGAAAGAGTAAATACCCTAAAACTCAATGTTGGACAACTTGAGACTTGAAGGGACTTGGAATTTGGTTACTGTTATGGTTTGGATGTGAGGTGTCCCCAAAAGCTCATATGTGAGAAAATGCAAGAAGGTTCAGGGAAGAAATTAGTGGGTTATGAGAGCCTTAACCCATTAAGTGAATTAATCACCTGATGGGATTAATTGAGTGGTAACTGAAGACAAGTGGGGTATGGCTGGAGGAGGTGAGAATTGGGGGTGTAGCTTTGGGTTATATATTTGTATCTGGTGAGTGGAGATATCTCCTCCTCTCTCTCCTCTGTCTTCTCTCTCTTCTCTCTTCTCTCTCTTCTCTCTTCTCTCTCTCTCTCTCTCTCTCTCTCTCTCTCTCTCTCTCTCTCTCTCTCTCTCTCTCTCCTTCCTGACCACGTGTGAGCTGCTTCCCTCTGCTATGCTCTTCCTCCATTATGTTCAGGCTCACTTCAAGCCCCAAGGAATGGACTCTGATGCCTATGGACTGATACCTCTGAAACCATGAGCCCCCAAATAAACTTCTCCTCCCCTACAATTGTTCTGGGCAGTTATTTTAGTCCCAGTGGCAAACAGATACTGAAGCAGAAAATAAGGAAAGAATTCCTTGACCCTGAACCCTGACTAGAGTGGTATCAGGGGAGGGGTAAGAAAGAAA